GTTCATCGTACCCGGAACTGATGGCAAACCGCCGCAGCTATACGAACCAACGGTGATGTTCTTTGGGCTGTGTAATTCTCCCGCTACGTTCCAGCGGATGATGAACACAATATTCGCAGACATGCTTCAAGAAGGCTGGCTCTGCATTTATATGGACGACATCCTGATCTTTTCCCAGGACAAAGCAGAACACGAAGAACGAACACGACGTGTTATCGAACGACTTCGACAACACGACCTCTACCTCAAACCGGAGAAATGCGCATTCGACGTCACAGAAGTCGAATTCCTCGGCATGATCATCCGTCCAGGAGAAATCGCAATGGACCCTGTCAAACTAGCTGGCATTGCGGATTGGCCGGTGCCGTCCAACCTCAGGCAAGTACGCGCCTTCGTTGGATTTGGAAACTTTTACCGCCGGTTTATCAAAGGCTTCTCGGACAAAGCACAACCGCTGGTTGCTCTCACCCGGAAGGACGTCGCCTGGACCTGGGGATCCGACCAACAGAAAGCCTTCGAAACCCTCAAAAAGGCATTCCTAGAGGAACCGGTACTACGTATGCCGGATCCTGACCGACCCTTCGCCATCGAAACCAACGCCTCAAAGTTTGCCACCGGAGCGGTGCTACGCCAACGCAATGATAACGGCGACTGGCATCCTTGTGGATACCTCTCTCAAAGCTTCAATGCGGCAGAGAGAAACTACGACATCTATGACAGAGAGTTATATGCGGTTATCCGCGCACTAGATGAGTGGAGGCACTACCTCATTGGCAGCCCATACCCAGTAATGATTCTCAGCGACCATAAGAACCTCACGTATTGGAAACAAGCCAAAGACATGAACCGACGACAAGCACGCTGGGCGAGTAAACTGACCGAGTTTGACTTCCGCCTGGTGCACGTTCCTGGCACCCAAATGGTGCAGAGCGACGCTCTCTCCCGCCGACCCGACCACGATGACGGCTCAAATGACAACACTGACGTCGTTATGCTTCCACCGGAAGTATGGGTCGCTGCCATCGACATTGACACCCGCGACACCATCCTTTCTTTCAAAGACGACCCAATAATGAAGGAAGGACTCACTGCAGCGCGCACCGGAGGAACACCACGCACTGGAACAGACTGGTCCATTGATGATGACCTCCTCCTATACCAGGATCGAGTCTATGTACCCCCAGATGAGTCTCTTCGCAAGCGCCTTGTCTCCCACTATCACGACCTCCCCTCCGCAGGACACCCCGGTGTTCAGAAAACCCTCCTCGGTTTATGCTGTGACTACTGGTGGCCGAGCATGGCCCAGTTTGTCGCTTGCTATGTTAACGGCTGTGGCATCTGCCAACAAATGAAGGTTAACACGCATCCAGCCCGACCGCCCATCACCCCCATTCGACCCCGTGCAAATGCCAAACCCTTCAGCACATTCTCGTGCAATTACATTACCGACTTGCCACCGTCCAACGGCTTTGATTCCATTTTGGTCGTAGTGGACCACGACCTTACGAAGGGGGTAATTTTCATCCCATGCAACAAAACAATTGACGCTCTTGGGACGGCAGATGCAATGTACCGAGAGGTCTACAAGTGGTTTGGACTCCCAGACAAGATCATCAGTGACCGAGGACCGCAATTTGCGTCCAAAGTCTTCCAAGAACTGTGCAAAATGACTGGGGTCCAATCAGCCATGAGTACAGCATTCCATCCGCAAACCGACGGCGAGACAGAATGAGTGAACCAAGAGCTGGAGATCTACCTCCGCTGCTTCACTGCCAATAACCCGGATAAGTGGGCTGACCATCTTCACACCGCGCAATTTGCTCACAACTCCCGCGAGCACTCCACGACGAAGGCGTCCCCGTTCAAACTCATGATGGGATACGAACCTCGTGGAATACCCACCGCGCACCCCGGATCAAACACGCCGCAAGCGGCTTATCGCCTCAAGGACTTGCAAAACATCCGCGAAGAAGCACATGTGGCAATGGAAATGGCCCAGAACGTCCTGGCCAAGAGAGTAAAAAGGAAGGGGGGTTCCTTCCGTAAAGGTCAGCTGGTATGGCTAGACTCCTGGAACTTGAAGCTGCCGTACCCATCCAGGAAACTAGCCCCGAGGCGAGAAGGGCTGTTCAAAGTCCTAGATAAGATTGGAACAGTCGCGTACAAGCTAGACCTGCCTAGCACCTGGCGAGTCCACCCCGTTTTCCACGAATGGCTTCTATCTCCCTACTCGGAAACAGAGATCCATGGTCCGAACTACACGAGGCCACCCCCTGACCTTATCGAAGGCGAAGATAACTATGAAGTCGAAGCCATCATCGGACACCGAGAGAACAAGAGGATGCGACACCGCGAATATCGCGTCAGGTGGAAGGGTTACTCAACAGCCGATGACTCATGGGAGCCCGAAGCGAACCTGACTGGGACGGCTGACGAAGTGTTGGCAGAGTATAAGAACAGGAAGGACTTGAGCTGGATCAATAGCAGCTCTACCCAGTTGCTACATCCCCACTCGCACCAACATGTCTTCCACCCTCTCGTTCCTCGACCAGTTCAACGCCCCCTCGACCGAAGGCGGGAAAAGGCTCTCAATCTACACCCCTAAGCACACCCACGTCAGCGACAGCACCTTGCTGACGCTTCTTCTCAGTAATCCCACCGACATTTTCAACAAGCTCAAAGCCCACAACCCCGAGGCAACCAATGCCACCGACCGCGCTGCACTAGAGGCGTATCTCTCTGCCCGCTGTGAATACGACGAGGCTGTCAAGGCAGCCGACGAGGCCATCGACCACCACAAGCGGCTCCTACGCCAACAGGACAACCGTGTCCTCACCGAGCTCATCCGGCTCGACAATCTGAAAGTCGCCCATCGCTTTCTACCACTCTTACCACGCAGCATCCGAGCACGACACAACAAATTCATCCCACGCGCCATCCCCAACGTGTACTTACCCCTACCCGCACCCCTACCGACGTCTGCCTTCAGGCGCCCCCCGATCCCATCCCCTTTCCTCCAAGCAACACCGCAGAGCACTACCATCCCAGCTGACTGGCAACCCAACCCTGGTTGGACCCCAAAGGGAAGCTGCAGGCGATGCGGATCGTCTCGACACTGGGTACGGGACTGTCCGGACGTACGATGCGCAGGATGCGAAAAAGAAGCCCCTGGACACCTGGAGCGAGAGTGCGGAACCAGGCCGATGAAGCGACACGTATCCGCACCACCTGAAGAACCTGCGCGACACGTGGGGGTGGTCGTCGACAACGTGTTCCTCGAAGGAATCATCAACGAGGCGAAGGAGAGGAAGCAGAAAGAAAGGCAGACGAAAGCGGTACCTATTCCTCCACCGCGCAGCGCTAACCCCGAACCCCCCGCCAGTCCCGTCGCGGGACCTTCGCGCCCCCGCCCCGATACACCCGTCGTCTTTCGCAAAGTCAATTCTGACTGGACACCAGATACCACTCAATGGACGTGGGACAGCTCCTGGCCGAATCAGAAGCACCTCTCTGGCGAGGAATGGATGAACGTAGGGAGAAATGCGCGCAAGGAGTGGTTCGACGAAGAGGAGGATGACGGCGTAGATTGGGAGTTGTATGGAGAT